TAGAAATATAATATATTATGTTGTACCACAAAACGGCAGTTATAGCTATTTTTCTGATGTCTGAGATTATCTTTAGACCACGTGACCTCCATTGATGGCTATGATCTGTTATAATCTCTTAAGAGATTATAACAAAAAAAAAAAAAAGACTTTTTAGGAAAAAAAACAGGGACTAACTTTGAATGTAAAAATGGATTCATTAACCATTGGTAAGTATGAAAATTTCATTTTTTGGCAAAAACGAAGAGTTATTATCCCTTTAAGGTTAGATTCCAGCGGCACTGTACTTTACTTTGCTGTCGATGTAAAGCTGAACATACTGGTATCCTCACAGGTTTCATTTACAGTAGCTAACATAGTGTGTATGGTTTTAAAGCTCGCCACGTTATAGCTTTTCTGGTTGTTTTAATATCGGCATTAGGTAGTTTTTGCAATATTTAAAATAATAGAACAGCATCTTGACTGTTTCACTCGCTGATATTGCGAACAAAAATGTTTCTTTCGATGTACTGTTTTTGCTCAAATTCACAATAAACAAAATCTCTGTTTATCTGTCTACCTATCTATCTATCTTTCAATCAACATGGTGCGACACTGAGTTATATTTTATTGATCATCACATTTTATTGATTTATCGATCTATCTATCTACCTTATTGACCACCAGATCTTGAAACTTAATAAAAATAAACTTGGGGAAAACACGGTTATTTGTTCATTATTAAAACTCCAAGAGAATGTTGATCGAGATACCTGGCTATGAATATCAAGGCAAGAGACTGTTATTAACGTTGGTTGAATCTGTGTCACCCGCTTGAATATATGTCTATAGAATGAAGAGCTATATGCTTTAATTAAATTAATTTGCTGTCTGACACACACGGTGTACAATTTAAGCCTTGTATGAGACACATATAATCATTATATATATATATATATATAACCGTAGGTTCGAATCTCTGATCTCACCAAGCAGTACAGAATGACGAAATGGACGCTCTGGTGGATTTAAACTGGTTTCATTTTGAGAAGTCATCTAGGTAAATTTATGAATAGATGTTTCTGTTCATGGACGGAATGTCTTTGTTTGAAGTCTGAAATTCCTTATAATATTTTGTGTAAAGTTTAAAGAGCTAAAGTAGACTTGTTTATAATTAATTTATATGTTTAAGAAGGTAACTTTAAGAATCCTTGCTTTTTTATATTTTCTAAAGAGTGGGACACCCCGCAATCAGCAGACTGTACCTGAAGAAGTGAGTGAACATTAAATAATTAAAACTGATTATTGTTATCAGCGTTGGATTTCCTTATCACAAGTTGATTTTCATCTTCATCCTGTATCACTGAATACTTGTCTTTTTAAAGGGACTGAAGATGTTGTGAAAACCAGATCAACGTTGGTAATAATCTGAATGCTCCAAAAGCAATTAACTTGCAATGTGCTTTACATTTCTTCTTAATTTGTTTTTATTTATTTATTTTGTATATAAACTGACATATATTCAGCCGATTCACGAGCATTTATCTGAATTGTCTACCTTACCGTCTGCATCAAAATGCCGCTTAGAGCTATCATACTGAAATTGCTACAATTCCACGGTTAAAGGTTCAGAACGAAAGTAAATATAACGACCTACCTCAACATCTTGTATCAGGTTTTACGTTGGTGAAGAACGTCCGATGCTGCTTCTCACAATCTGGGGATTGTGCTTTAAGTACCGTGAGCGCAATGTTTAAATAATTGTTTAACCTGGAGAGTTAGGGATGTTTTTGTGTGTTTGTGTGTGTGTGTGTTGGGGGGGGGGGGGTACAGGTAGTAACGCCGGGTAAATACTATAAAAGCAGTTTAAAAATGTTACCCCTAAAAGAGTTATTTGGAATGCTTTTTTTCTTGTCCAAAGCACAAAATGCTTTTTTCTAGATAAACCGACGAAAACATCTTCCTTAGAAAGCCCTGTTAAAAGGTTTTCTTTAAATCAGTGATATGCACTCGACCTTATCAATACTAGCAGTGCTCCTACTAGGCACGACAAAATGGTCTTTGGCTTAGCAACATTATAGGGGTACTTTGAATTGCATTTGTGTCGACTTATTAAAAAGCACCCATGTCATTTTAGTGCAGTCTGTTTAATTTATCCAGTCTACAGAAAGCTGTGCTCAATTAGTTTATCTAAACTAATTCCTTTGTAGAACTTCAGCCTCTTGATTGCTATACTTTTGATAAATCTTTTGCAATTAAGTTAAAAGTCTTGATCCATGCTTCCATGTCCCCATACACAGGGGTGGAACGAAGATAATTTGAAAGGGGGGTCTGTGGATGGGAAGCCAACCCACTCCTCCGCTGAATTTTGGTATTTTAAAGGATGAACGGTGCCATTTGGTTCGATTTAGAACTATGAGTCAGCTAGTCAAAATCCTAATTTCAAGAGGGGACCATTGGTGTGTTGTTTTTTTTTTTTTTCAGAAATATGAAAAACTGTATCACGATGTCTATAGACTTTTAGGATCGATCTATCTCCCTGAGGAGTCTCACTAAATTGCTATCAACTTAACCGACTTAAATGTCACTCACGTCTAGTAAAGTTGTTTGCGGGTAATTATCTTTACCCCATAGCTGATTCGGAAGGCGTGACAGACATTTAAGCCGGTTAGTTGATAGCAAATTAGTCCCCAGGGAGTAAGACTGATCCAGATGGATCTTTCTAGGGAAGGGATCCCAGTTTAAGACTAGGTTCCCATCCCTAGATCAATGTTACAGAATTGGTCCATCTCCACAGGGTTTCTCGCTAAATTGCTTTCAGCTTTAGTGACTTAGATGTCTGCCACGCCTGCTAAAGCTGCTAAACGATAGTTAATTGCCCCCTATTAGCTTCAGTAGGCGTGACAGACTGTTAAGTCGCTTAAGTTAATTGCAATTTAGCGAAAAACCCCTTGGAGATAGTTCGACCCAAAGTTAGTACGATAGTCTCTGGGAATGGTCTCTCACTTACAAAATCAGGCAAAGAAAATGGTCCTGGCTGGTTCTCCACTGTGTATGACACACGGGGCTTGATGCATGCAACCTCATACCAGTACACTGGGAGCGCAATCACAGAAGACGAAAATATAGAGGAGTGTATATGACTCTCTAAAATACCCACAACTGAAAAACTGATCACAGCAGCTGACGCCCTTGACTCAACCGGCCTCAATGTTCAAATTAGGTTATAAAAAGTATCTTTTATGATTAATTTTTACTTAATCTCACTTCCCCCAGAAAGAAGAGCAATTTTTCTTACTTGCGAACCATTCCTTAAAAAGTCTCAGCAATAAAGTATGTGATGTTTTGCACCATTGGCAAGTACATGACATAGACTAGAACGAATTGTAAGCATTAAGACCACCAGCTCTCCCTGGCATATCCAAACAAGACATCTACATCAAGTCCTTTTATTCCAAGAATAAACGATTTGTAAAGAACAGAATAGGGGGTGGATGAGCAGATGTACGGAATATTCAGACATACATAGAGGCATTTGCAAATATATTGCATAGTACGCCTGGCACGCAGATCCCCTAACATTAATGTTGAGTGAATCGTATTGGAAATGAATAAAACCATTAGAAATGAAAGAGCTATATGTTTTCATTTGCTGCAGATGTAGAATTGAAAATACTGGTATCCTGTCAAGTTACATAATGTACGTGTGTATATATAGTAGTCCTCATGATCATCGTCATATGGGACTGCCAGCCCATTACGGGGATATATTATTATTATTATTATTAGTATTATTATTATTATTATTATTGTTGTTGTTGTTGTTGTTGTTCACCTGTACAGCTTTGTGTCAATTATATGGTTACCACGTTACACAGCTCGGGCATAAATCACTTTCTCTGTATCTGTATAGATGACACTATTAAAAATATTAACATATACAAGACGGCTGTTGTCAAATTTGTAAATAGAAAGTTGTCTATGATAAAATTGAATAAAACATTTTGTGGTTGTTTACTGATTTAATTATTTTCAGTAAAAACTATTAAACATTGTAGGCTTGTACTCCAAGTGAAAGATATGGCCAAATCCTGTAGAAGCAGGTTAGCTGTTTAGAGATAAACGAGGGAAGTGAAATAGCAGGTGAGCCATGCATGTTGCAAAAATGTCTCTATAACGATGTTGTTCTTTAAAAAGTAATGACATAGTGTTCTCATTCACAAAGAATTGTTTATATTTATTGGTATATATCAGTATAGTCAGTTTGTCCATAAAGGGGTTTTGCTTACTTATAATATATTTTTCGTTTATTAAAATATTACTCCAAAAATGTAATATTCAATTTGATTCAAACAGGATTTTGCACAGGATTATCGAGAATCTCTGTATAAGTGCAAAGACGTTGGCTATCTTTATTGTCTATTTCTAGTTCATAGATTCTCTTATATTTTATGGGACAAAGAGTCGGGCAAAGGTGTCTTTTTTAAGCAAGACCAAGGATTATCCGACAAGTAACCCCCCCCCCCCGTTTTTTACCAGCAAGGGCATCATATAAAAGAAAGGTACGCCTCGACAGTCAAAAGCATTGTCCATCCCATGACAGGGCATTCAGTGCTAATGTACATTGTAAATGAGACTTGTATGATGCATTACTAGAACAATGAGACAAAAACGTTTAGACATTTATTCCTTTTCGTTATTTGTAGTGTTTATTGTGAGCATGCATAAAAGTTAAGAAAACCATCAACTTGCTGAAGCTGCATGTATTCTAAGCATTTGGAGGAAAAGAATTTATGACAACCTTCATTAAAACATCAGTATTGAAGTTTTCAAGTATTTTTATCAGTGCAATACATCAATGAAATCAATCAAATTGAAACAAAAAGGTGACAATAATATTTACTAAATTCTGCTTGACAATTTGATTAATTTTCTTCGTCCTTAGTTGTGTAGTGTAGTTGCTGTTGTTGTGCTTGCTTTACGGTAGTTCTATATCCGATATCATTAATCGTGTGTGCATTATTTGCATTTTTCAAATGCGCGCACCTTATACAATGAATGTCTCTGTTCCGTCGATTTTTCCATTTTTTGCATCTATGGTAAAGCGACCGTATGACTGTCCTTTGATTCCATCCCAGGATGCTTTAGTCTCGTACGTGTACACACCTGATTTGAGAAGTGTGGCTGGCGTTGGTGTTTTATACTTTAAGGATTTCGCATATGGCCAATTGCCCATACGACCTGGCTGAAATAGTATTATCAATAGCGTTATTACAAATTAATATCTCCAATAATAATAATTTATTAGCTAGATTGGATTGGAGAGAAGGGGGGGGGGGTGTCGAACGAAAAGGAGACTGTGTCACAGAGACCACAAGTTTCCCCACCAGCGATGTTGTTGATAAAGGTACAGTGTAATCATCATCTCCGCCTGTCACGCCACTTCTAGCGTATGCGTTCACAGACTGCTGCACACTTTGCTTGTTGTAGGCAGTTGCGGATTTGGATTTGGGAGGGGTTCTGACACATATCTTGCCACTCTAGTTCAGTGCGGGTTGGCGAGTGCTTGATGCCCATTTGCCCCAGCATCTGTATATGTGGCAGGTTGCACGAGGGTACATTTCACTAGTGTCATGCTGAATGACTTGACCTGACTTCAGGTAAATTTTAATATGTGATGAATATTCACGATATCGACTGATATTTCTGGGTAAAATAACAAAAGCGGAATAAAGCAGTCATTTTATTGCCAGCAATATTCAGAATCTTTTAATTCATTTTATATCACATAAAAATAAGGACATAGCTTGGATTAGAACAGTTTGTATAAAATTAGACTACAACCACGTTTTGCTGTAGGTATGTTGTCATTTTAATCCAGAAAACTTTTTTCCAAAATTTTGATGCCAATTATCCAATTTTGGGCACACTGATACGGACTCGAAATCAAATGAACAATTTATAAAATGACATACGACTTTTAAGATTAACAAAACATGCTTGTATGCAAGGTCACTTACCTTCATGATATATTCCCCATAAAACATTGAATTGATTTCGTCAAGCGTTCCTGTATACCCAGTTCCGTTAACCTGAATGCTCTTAATGACCTCAATCACCCAGCCCGCGTTAGAAACGAACCCTCTACCGCTCTCGTCTGTGATGTAACAAATTACCAAATAACAATTTTATCCACTCAAATGACATAAACATATTCAATTTCCAGCATAGATGGATTGCCCAATGCTAAGACTTTACTCATTTAAGGTTGTTTAGACTTCAAACACAAGTTACGGAGGTCTTCATAGCTCGATATCTTGGTCTATTGGCCACATTATACAGTATGTCTTTGACTAATAAAAGATGTACCACATGAGGCATGGCCTCGGAAATAAAACGCAGTAATACAAAACCCATGATCCGCTCAAACTTACTCAGAATAACAAAATAACAAATAAAATGGGGAAAAAGTATGCTCCGTGCATTGCTACGAAATCTTAGTAGGATAGGATTATGAAAATCGGTTTTCACCCCAGACTTTCCTTCTCAAATTATAAATGAGTTCCTACCAAAAACAAGACTGCACTTTGCATTTGGGCTTAGGTGGTAGGGGTGAAACACCATTCTTCCGTCCTCTAATAGGACACGTCCATCAAGTATATCAGAATCGGTCACAGCCGACATATTTATTCCAAAGTGGTCGCCAAAATATTTCACAGCGTTCTGTCCAAATTCAACTATGGATTGGTTGCTGCAAAAGTAAATATGCTACAGCTGTACGTCGATATATAATATGTTCAGTTACACATACGACTCTCCATCTGCGTTGTAAATTCTAAAATATAAGTGAATTAATTCATATTAGTCATATGATTAGTAGACACTACTTTTTCTCCAGTGAAGACAATGATTTGTTGTCAAGAGTACAGTATTTCACAAAATAGCCTCCTTTACCATTAATGTTAAAGAAAAGTACCCAAGCGCCATACTTATGGTACTCACTCTGTTCTCCCCGCACATGCATGATGTTGCATAAATCTGGTGAGGTTTTTTTCTAGCCCTGTCCATATTCCACTCAATCGAAATATGAAAGTCCAGCTAACCCCGATTTCTACGGATGGGAAAGCACACTCCTGGTTGATACAGTGAACGTACAATGAGCACTGGAGCACGCAGAACAATGCTATAGCAATTCTGAAATCACAAAAACATAGTTATTCTTTATCGTTCCACAACGTAGGTAAGTAACAAACTATTAATATACCTTTCTGCGTCTTTATCTGTTGAATAATGGTATGTTAATTCCAAGATGTTAACCCACACTTAATACTTGCATTTGTCAGTAGTATAAAATCAGGCTGACAGTTACCAGCGGCGTGATGAATGACGTGAGGAGTGTTTGTTTGTTTGTCTGCCTGTCTGTTTGTTTGCCTGTCTTCTGTCTGTTTGTTTGTTTATTTGTCTGTCTGTCTGTCTGTTTGTTTGTTTGCTTGTCTGTTTGTCTGTCTGTCTGTCTGTCTGTCTGTCTGTCTGTTTGTTTGTTTTTAAGGGGACGGGCTACAAATGTTATTTTTAAAAGTCTTATTTATTTTTTCTTGTGTATTTAAATATTTTATGACATTTTCTTTTTTTTTTTTTTTTTTGAAAATCTTATCTTGTCTGTTTTGATTTTCTGTCTCGTCTCATTCTATAGGTAAAAGTGCGCTTGCACTGAAGTTTGTTCCAGTGCTTTATTGGGTTGATTCGATAAGCGCGTATGCAAACAGTTACGCTAAGACGCGCAGTGGACACAGTCCGTATATGATCGTTCAAGTGTCCTCACCTCAAGGCGTATCAGATATTTCTATGTGTCTAAATGGTGTACACACCATACAGTTAAGCGCACATCCGGGCGCCCCAACATTTCTGATTCAAAGTAGATGAAATGAAGGAAAAGGAATTAGGGAGGAGGAGGGGGAGGTAGTAGGGAGAAGTTATGGAGGAGGAGGAAAATTTATGGAGGAGGAGGAGTTAGAAAGGAGGAGGAGGAGGAGGGAGGGAGGGAGAAGAAGGAGGAGAAGTTATGGAGTTAGGGAGGAGGAGTTAGGGAGGAGGAGGAAGGGAGGAGGAGTTAGGGAGGAGGAGGAAGGAGGGTGTATATAAATAGCTTACTCCTCACCCTCACTTCTCATTCTTTGAAAAGGTGTTCAAGTGTATTGAGTGTGGAAAAACCTTCTCCAGAAAGGACAACTTGGATAGACACGTAATGAGTGTACACCAGGCGAAAGCTCAGCTTAATCTGCAGGCGGGTAGTGAGTGTGGACCACTCATATCCCCATTTACTGACATGGAGACTGGTCCGACGGGCAGTGGGAAATCGTGAAACGATTGATAGCACACGCGCAATTAATGATTTCATTGCGCCCACAGAAAATAATTTGGTGTTACGATATGTGGCAACATTTATATGAAGTCATGCTGGTCGAGTCAAAGGGTTTTCACCTTCCTATATCCAAGATGACGATTTCTTTGATCCTAATGTGAACAGTCTCATAGTATTTGACGACCTATTTGCCGAAGCAGCAGTTGATAGCAGAATACGCGACTTATTTACCAAAGTGTCACATCATCGCAACGTCAGCGTCATTCTTATTACCCAAAACCAGAGAGAAGGAAGCGAGAACCATCTCCTTGAACTGCCATTATCTCGTCCTCTTTAAAAACCCAAGGGACACATTGTAGGTCAGAACACAAGCCCAGCAGATGTATCCCGGTGAGGTAAAATATTTCCTCCGAGTTTTTAAACAAGCAATAACCCAAAATCGAGTAAGCCAAAGTTGCCCACATCAGTGTTGACACAATCTATTGTTAACTATAAGGAAGACAGCTCTCAAGTGAGCTTCACTGTTGACACACTCTATTGTAAGTCGTAGTTGCCCAAAATATAATGTATGGTGTGTACACCATTTAGACACATAGAAATATTTGATACGCCTTGAGGGCACTTGAACGATCAAATACGGACTGTGGCCACTGCGCGTCTTAGCGTAACTGTTTGTATACGCGCTTATCGAATCAACCCAATAATGCACTGAAACAAACTTCAGGGCAAGCGCACTTTTACCTATAGAATGAGACGAGACTGAAAATCAAAACAGACAAGATAAGATTTTCAAAAAACAAAGAAAATGTCATAAAAAATTTAAATACACAAGAAAAAATAAATAAGACTTTTAAAAATAGCATTCGTAGCCATAGTTACCCCTCCCCTCAAAAACAAACAAACAAACAAACAAACAGACAAGCAGACAGACAGACAGACAGACAGACAGACAAACAAACAAACAAACAAACAAACAGACAGACAGACAGAAAAACAAACAAACAAACAAACAAACACTCCTCACATCACTCCTCACGCCGCTGGTAACTGTCAGCCTGATTTCATACTACTTTTGTCTTTCTTAGAAATATTACTCTTCTTTGAGAATATGACTAAGGAAAGGGGGTGCACAAAGTATTGTACCTTTTGCTTGAAGGTGAACAACAGGTGGTCTTTGTTTTACATTGGTATCTTACTTAAAGTGGTTTACGTCCAGTTATTATCTTTTCTATTTTTCTGACGGATATTCTGCCTAAGGTGCTACGTTTAAGGGCCACACCATTGAACTTGGGGAAGGGACGGTTATTTGTTCCTTATTAAAACTCCGAGAGAATGATGATCGAGAGACCTGGTTACGAATATCAGGGCAAGAGACTGTTATTAACGTTGGTTGAATCTGTGTCACCCGCTCTATACATCTATAGAGTGAAGAGCTACAGTATATGCGTTAATTTAATTAATATACAATCGTTGGTTATAATATCTGATCTCACCAAGCAGTACAGTACAGAATGACTAAATGGACGCTCTGGTGATCTAAACTGTTTTCATTTTGAGAAGTAATCTAGGATTGCATTCCCACAGATTTAGATCGATCCATCTGGATCGACCTAACTTCCTGGGGGTTCATGCTAAATTGCTGTCAGCCAAGCGCGCACGGAAGTTAATTACCCCCTGACAGCTTTTAGTATGCGGGACAGACATTTAAGCCGGATAAGCTGACAGTAATCTATTGAGACTCCCCACGGGGATAGATCGATCTAACATCTGTGGAAATCCAGTCCTAGACTGTTCTACAACGACAGCATTTATGCGAGCAACTGATAACCTCAAAATTGGAAACTTACCACGAGTTAATTTTCATTTTGAACAGCATCTTGACTGCTTCACTTGCTGATATTGCAAAAAACAAAAAAAAAAAAAATGTTTCTTTTGATCTAGTGTTTTTGCTCAAAATTCACAATAAACAAAATCGCTATTTACCTGTCTACCTATCTATTTATCAATCAGCATGGTGCGACACTGAGTTATATTTTATTGATCATCACATCTTGAAACTTCATAATTATAAAATTGGGGTATGGACATTTATTTATTTATTTATTGTCCATCTATCTATCTGTCTATCTCTTTATCTCTTTTATTGACCAGCAGATCCTGAAATTTAATAATTATAAACCTAGGGTATGAGCGGTTATTTGTTTATTATTAAAACTCCGAGAGAATGTTGATCGAGAGACCTGGCTTTGAATATCAAGGCAAGAGACTGTTATTAACGTTGGTTGAATCTGTGTCACCCGCTTAAATATACGTCTATAGAGTAAAGAGCTATATGCTTTAACTTAATTAATTTGCTGTCTGACACAGACGGTGTCCAATTTAAGCCTTGTATGAGACACATATAATCATTATAGACGTTATATATATATTACCGTAGGTTCGAATCTCTGATCTCACCAAGCAGTACAGAATGACGAAATAGACGCTCTGGTGGATTTTAAGTGGTTTCATTTTGAGAACTCATCTAGGTAAATTTATGAATAGATGTTTCTGTTCATGGACGGAATGTCTTTGTTTGAAGTCTGAAATTCCTTATAATATTTTGTGTAAAGTTTAAAGAGCTAAAGTAGACTTGTTTATAATTAATTCATCTGTTTAAGAAGTTAACTTTAAGAATCCTTGTTTTTTTATATTTTTCTAAAGAGTGGGACTCCCCGCAATCAGCAGACTGTACCTGAAGAAGTGAGTGAACATTAAATAATTAAAACTGGTTATTATTATCAGCGTTGGATTTCCTTATCACAAGTTGATTTTCATCTTCATCCTTTATCACTGAATACTTGTCTTTTTAAAGGGACTGAAGATGTTGTGAAAACCAGATCAACGTTGGTAATAATCTGAATGCTCCAAAAGCAATAAACTTGCAATGTGCTTTACATTTCTTTTTTATTTGTTTTTATTTATTTATTTATTTATTTTGTATATAAATTGACATATATTCAGCCGATTCACGAGCATTTATATGAATTGTCTACCTTACCGTCTACATCAAAATGCCGCTTAGAGCTATCAAACTGAAATTGCTACAATTCCACGGTTAAGGCTTCGGAACGTTAGTAAATATAACGACCTACCTCAACATCTTGTATCAGGTTTTACGTTGGTGAAGAACGTCCGATGCTGCTTCTCTCAATCTGGGGATTGTGCTTTAAGTACCGTGAGCGTAATGTTTACATAATTGTTTAACCTGGAGAGTTAGGGATGTTTATGTGTGTGTGTGGGGGGGG